ACTAATGGCGTGTGTTTGTGACCGGAGGGGGGGCGGTGGGATGGCTTGTGGCAGATCTGACACCACCGGATCAATCGACTTGCTGTTGGAATCTGATTGGGGTGCGGTGCTACGAAAAATGCTGCAATAATGACCTGAAGAACTAACTACCCGGAATTCACAAGAAGGCAATAGGCATCCTAATGCCTGCTCAGGGTTGTGCGAATTCGTTTTCGAATAAGTACATACTCTGCGGATGAATAGCAAAGTTTGAAAGTTGTGGCCTTGCGGCTGAGATACTAAAAATGTAGTCCATATTCGTTGATCACCAAATGTTCACTTCACAGGCTACAACAATCCACGTAGAGTGACGAGCAAAAAATCGGAAGACAGTGTCCTCCAATAAAACGGATTTCTTCCATAAAAGCGGTACTGAAATACAGATAGCTAAATTGTAAAATATGCAAACCTCAAACTGTAGCACTATCCGGTTTACCAACACGCCGGAATCTGTGAAGCCATTAATTCGACAAGCAAGAAATGCGAGCAAACAGGCGCCCAGATGACAGTAGAACGAATACACCAAATAAGATTACATGAATCTGTGGTACCCGATGACGGGAAGTGACCTAGAGGGGTATGAATGTTAGTCATCAAGGCCCGCCGTGACATGACAGTGCAGTAAACCTGTCTAGGTGTGTGCGTGAGTGAGCACAAGCGTTGACCGCTGTCGATTATGATGGACACGGGTCTATGAGGCCGGTGGGACCGATATAGAGGATAACGTAGCTTAGCAAACATACTAATAGTGCGTGCGTATGTGCAAACTGCGTGGAGAACAGTCATAGGCACGGATCAATTGCAATTCGGTGCAAACCCAGCTAGGGTTTGCTGATGAACGCAACAACACACGGGGACAAATTAAGAAGATGGACACTAGGATAGTGGTGCGGAGTGTGTGCGTGTGAAGATTGTCACTGTTTGAGGTAGAATTTATCCGGAAGACAACTATATATTATGTACATATATATATATATATATTCGGACATCTATGCTACTTCGTGAACGCAGCATTCGTCACCGAAAATTATCCGAATTATTTCATCTTGGAAACCCAGTAGGGCATAATCGATCAGTGCGCTTGGCTTCCGTACCCCGGTCTGTGATGAGCTGTCGATCCGGGTGGATCATCAACAGTTAGGTCAGGATTGCACACAACGCTCATCCATCTCTGTGGTTATACCATCATCCGCAGTGGTCTGGTTCGAGGCACAGGACTCCAAATGCTTCAATGAATCTATCTACGAACTGTGTACGTCGTGCGTTTCTGGACTACTCAACTGTTTTCGATCTTATTCTTTCGTCCCTTCTCTTTAAAAAGGAGGAGACCTTCGATTATTCCAGGTAGTTATTACCTTGGCTTACTCACTATTTCCCTGAAAGAACTCAATGCTGTAGGTTTGGTCCGAGAAAGTCCAAACAACTCTGCGGTACGAATGCGGTGGGAATGTTCCTGATAACCGACAAAGAACACTGGACAGCTGTTTCGTCCTGTTTGAGAATCGTCAGCAGTGCGTACTTTGTGTCCCTGTCAGGATTCAAACCGCGAACATTCGGGTCAGGACTTCATACCCTTACCCGTGAGCTACACGGACGACAGTTATCAACTTGCTCGAATGGTTCAATCAATTTAAGCAGTGTTGAGTCCTGGCAGGGACACAAATAGTACGAACTGCTGACGAGTCCCAACCACGAAAAAACAGCTATGCAGTGCGCAATTTGTCGGGATCACAAACAGTTCCACCGCATTTAAACAACTAAAATTAATTTATCAAAATGACTCATAGACTTGATACAGGTGTTGTACTTTCATGCGATTCATATTTTTACTGCACTTGTTCATTTTTGAGCTTTCACTTTTCTTTTCAAATGCACCGCTGATGTGGTTCTTATTTCAGGACTTTCATAATTTTCGGACAATATGGAAAACGTTAATTATTTGCCCGACGCTTCCGGTCTCTCTTTCAATCCCTCCAATTTTCTCCGATGTCTCCTAACGTTATCACGTGATTCTTTCCTATCTAAGCCGTTGTCCATTGGCTCAAAACCAGTATCCCGGTGAAGTTGTATCAAATACCTAGAGTGTTCCATCGATGATAATTTCCAATATATCGTCCTGCAATAGCTACCAGGCACACTGACGCCGGATAAAGTTGCTACCAATCCCAGCAGCCAAAAATTATCTATTTCAAGCAGTACACACATCTTAATTCATTTAAAAAAGTTAAACATGGTGCTCAGTTCTTCAGGAAGAGCCACAGTCAATACAGTGGTAGCCGCAGAAATGCTAAAGGACAAGTTTGCCCAAAGGTTTGCTACATCACCTAACGAAGAACTGTTCCTCCCTCTCTGGATGCATCATATTTCGCATCCTTCAGTAACCAACGCATCATTCACTACCGAAAAGGTGAAGGCAAATCTATTGGCTTTGAGGAAGAATTCATCGCCAGGGTGCAGACAATGCTCACTCCCAAACCGTGATCTGCTTGGCAAATCAAATAGCCGAGCCACTAGCTTTCCCATTCCAGAGGATTTTCGATCACACTGCAATCCCACCGTCATCACGGAAGAGGTTAAAGAATGAGCTGTAGTCCTCAAGAAATTATCNNNCGCCAGGTGCAGCCAATATTCACAGCCATACCTTTAACTGCTTGACGGATCTACTATCCGAGCCATTGGCCTTCCTATTCCAGATGATATTCGATTGCAATGCAGGGAATCAGGGAGTGAAGTCACCGGTCTACAAAGGTGGTTTCCGTAGCGATGGCTCTTATCATTCTGTAGCCCTCCTTCCAGTGTTGTCTAAGGTCATAGACTCCATAGTAACAGATTCACTGATGGAACATACAGAGAAGCACAACGTTGTCACCAAATTAATTTAGATTCCCACAGAAGCGATCCTGTGCTATCAATTTACTCAACGCACAAGATGAATGGACAAAACTAGTTGATGACAGCGATGCGATAGACGTTATTACCTGGACCTTTCAAAAGCGCTCAATCCTGTAGATTACGAGAGTCTACTGGGAAAACTCCATAATTATGGTATTCGGGGCCTCATACTTGATTGGATTGAAGCAATTCTCCGACATCAGACCGTATCGGTTAGTGTTTCTAACTCGTTTTCGAGACCTATATACATTACCCACGGGGTTCCACAAGGATCTGTAATTGTCTGCGACTTTTCATAAAATTCATAAACGACCTACCGAAGGCTCTTAAGCCAAAATCAATACTGTTTGAATATATCACCAAAATTTAGAATACAGTGACGCAACCAGCCGCACTCCAGGAAACACTGAAAGCAGCTCATCCCGGGTCTCTTTTGAACGATATTGAATTCAATTTGTCAATGTGTGTAAGGTTCTATCTCTGCGACCCAATGGGAGATTTTCGTGTTTCCTCGAAAATGATTAACTGCCGTAGGTTATATTCCAATCGCAAGTGGCTCATCATAGGAGACATCGTTATGGTATACTAAACAGTAGAAAACCCTAGCCGCCGCTGTCGCCCGCGGTTGAACTTATCATCCAACATTCATATCAGAGGACATCCGTTCGAACTAGTGCTTTCAAAATACCCGAGTTGTGTGCCGGGGTCAGTCGTTCTCATTCAGAGACTGTTCAATCTACAACTCTCCCCCACCCCATGTCGTCTGTGCACCAAGCATTGAATATTTCAAACGGAGACTCACACTATACATTCTATCCTAAGCGGAGCTGCATGCAACAGTGGAAGAATCTCGTATCCTGTGACATTTTTACACAAGGAGTTGTATGTATCACTGTCTTTTAACCTATGGGACGAGAAAAGCATTAGCTTGTTAGTCATTCTCACAATAAATTAATGCTGGAGGAGTCGATATCTAAGCTGTGATAAGATCAGTTGAATTCATTCGTGAAATGTTTGTGCACAAGATTGTCATGGACTGCACACAGAGCGCTACGCACAGATTAAATTCCTTGTCGTTTCCATTAGTCAACTACGTCCCAATATCGTGATGTTTCCTCTCACATAAAAATGTGTACTCCTAATCTAAGGTATTCTCTTTAGCACGCATTTGAGCTGCTAAGGAACAGGCGTTCACGTATTTTATTTGAAAGTTTTGGGACTCAGCTTGATTCCGCTTCTTCTCTACTGTGTACACCTTGTACTGAAATTTAAACATTACGCCTACAGAAATTACAATTAAAATCCAATAAAATCCACTGGTATTGATCAAGCGGTTTGCGTTTACTGGGTGTCATATATCTTGATCGGGAATGAATAAATAATCCCGTAGAGTGTAAATAGACGCTCAAAAGCCGTATCACGTGAATGAAACATTGATCACAACCAGGTTCTATAAATAAAATGTTTTGTTGAAGCATTCCTCAAATTTGTGATTTCACATCTGTGAATCGGTTTTCGAGCTACGATCTATTGGTTATATTTTTTTAGTGGAAATTAGAGCCAGATGAAAGTCATTGTTGTGTGATTAAAACTGAGGGACAGGGCAACAATAACTTGTCGTGAAATCAATCTTGACATAGTTTGAAGCTATGCCCAGCTTGACTGTCGACCTTAGTGACAAATGGCACTCCGTTATCGACGTAACTCAAAAACCATTTTCCGGGGATCCTCGAAGTTTTAGTGTGAACAAGCAAACATTACTAGTGGGAATCTTCGCATGTTTCTTGAATTCCAATCAAAAACCGTATGCAATAGGACCAAACGATTACGGGGGCGCTGATTGGTTCACTGGTAGACAAAATCAACCAATCAAATTTGACGCAATTGCAATATAAATCCACATTCTCCGGGGTTCAATATATTTCGTACACAAGGATATAGAGCGGCGGCGCTGTCACGCGCCGGTCTATATTGCGTGGCTGACCTCGGCACCTCGGCTCAAACAATGACCTAAAAAACGGGCAATGTGTTTTGGATTCTACTACCACTATTACTACTATTATGTCATAATGGCCGTGCTCCTTGTTGTTACAAATGTGTCTGCAGTGTACCAAGATCACATTGTCCAATGGGATCTGTCTAATGAAATGTGAGTTGCTACACCAATACCATAGACTGCATGGATTCACGTAATTGCTTAGGTAATCTTTTCAATTAATTGCAGTGCCGTGTTGTTTTTTATGATTGCTTATTTCGTTTTCTCATGCCATCGATTTTTGTCAGGTGTTGTTAATTGTTGCAACTGATAGAATTGAATCCGATCAAAAGCGAATGGGCAGGCGACCAACTCGGGAATGTGCCCCGAATAAACGTAGTAATAATAATGATTACGTATC